CCGGTGCGAGCTCGGTCCCGGCTCCTTCCCCCTCCCTGGGGGCAGGGGTGGAGGGGCCAGGTGAGCGCACCAGCCCCCGATCCTGTGGTTGGGTCCTCGGACCACAAGCCTCATCCACCCAGAATCGCCTGAAGGCAACAGCTCAGCTGTGGACGCTCAGGAAATTCCGGGCTTCTAGGAGCTCCGGGCCAGGACTCAGGACCCGGGTCAGACTCACAGCTGTGATTGTATCACAACATCACAGAGGCCCGGGAAAGAGCTCAGAGGGCCTGGCCTGACACCGGGTGGGGAAGCTGAATCTCGAATGAGTATCAGGGTGTCTGTGTGAGCACACGGTCCACTGCTCCCAGCAGAGACCCCAGGCATCCCAGCGGGACCATGCCAGCCAGTGTGGGTGGGCAGCCACCCCCGGGGGGCTAGGCTAGGGATGCTGGCCTGGCCCCGCGTCACCCTCAGACAACAGCTAGGCTCGGAGTCAGCAGCGTTCCAGCCGAGAAGGACACCGGTGGCCCCGGGCTGGGCAGCCGTTTCCTCCTGAGTCCCTCAGTGGTAGGTCCTCTGGGGCGGACACACACCCCTCTGGGTCTGAAGAATCGCCCCAGAGCTACAGGAAAGGGCGAGCTGCTGCTAGCTGCCTTCATGAGTCCTCACACGGTGCTATACTAGGCGCTTTGTCTTTATCTCAGTCGGTATCTTTGTGCTAAAATTAGGGGACAAAACCCTGCACCTTATGTTGGTTCCTTGCATTCAAGTTGTGGGAGTAGTTTTCCCCAGGGCTCCTGTGGATGGTCTAGGGTCCCTGTGAGTGTAGCCTAGGTTCTTGATATCAGCAGGTGTCATACACCATCCTCATCCAGAGGAGAACGTTTGCATCGCATTTGACACGTCCACAAATTAGCTCGTTAACCAAAGGATAAATAAGGTCCAAGTTTATTCTTCAATATGATACATACATATGACTGTTACACATCTTTATAAGGAAAAGGAGTGCAGCTGAATGAAACTATGCCAGAAATAGAAAATACACACGATATATGTAGTCACTGCTTTGGGGCTCCGTGTTTATTTCTTGTCTGCACTGAGAAACTTTGTCCAGAGGGCTCACCGGCATCTATCCGTCGGGATAACTATAGAACGTGCAAGCAGGACTCTTCCGCCCCTTCGAGTGGGCAGCAGCAGGGAGTGAGAAGCCTTCACGGAAGGTGAAGCTGCCCACAGCAAGACCACCAGGGACGACGCACCTGCCTGGATCGGAGCTGGGAGGAGAAATGCACTGACCCTCTAAGCTGAGAAGCTGTGAGTTTCGCCCAAGGCCCGGAAGTTGTCCTAGCCCAGGAAGTCCCGCCCACTCAGTGCAGCGTCTCAGTCCTTTAGGACAGAAAGCAACTCACATTTTGCAAATGTAATTTTCATCTCAGAGAGGCTCTAGGGGAACATGGTGATAGATAAGAAGCCAGACTTTGATTCTAACTTAAGAAAAAGAGAAAGAGGCAAAATATTTTAAAAGATGGAGCAAAAGCAAAGGAGGGCATCGTGGCCAATCTGAGAAGGGTACAGAAGAACGCCTGAACCCAGGATGGAATCTCCAGCGGAGAGAGCTGAGCTCAATCCCGCCCTACCCCTAGTTACGAGCTCACAGATCAGTTTCCAAAGGAGGCCCCTCAGCTGGCCTGGAGTCCAGACCGAACAGGCCCAAGTGTAATATTGGCCCTCCCACAACCCAGAGGCTGGAGTCGGGGTCGTGGGAACAGAAGGACAGAAAAGGAATTAAAGGAGAGCCTTGCTCATTTCCCTCGTAGAAAATCCATATTTGGTTCTAAAACAAGGACAAAATGCTGCTGTACTAATTTCCATAAAGATGGTGAAAACGTTGGTTCTCACAGATCTGAGACTACATCACATCAGAGTCTGCCTCGCGAGACAAATCATCACGCCTATTTGCATCTTTGAGGAAAGAAAGCAAAAAAATGTCAAGTCAGACAGAAAGTGACTCCAGGCAACTCTACAGTGCCCAAAGACAGGAGTCAGCCAACCTCAACCCGGAAATGGTTTCCATGGTTAATCCAGGTGGGAGTCCGTGCTGGGGGCTTTTATGTCATGAACAAGGTGACCCTTTCCTCCCTGGTTTTTAAGCAGCAGCAGATTCCGGGTCCCTGTCAGTTCCTTTTCCCTTGACAGTTTCTTTCTCCCCAGGCCGTGGGACAGGCCCCACCCCGCTGGCACTTAATTTCCTCCATTTGCTGGAGGAACAGTGATGGCCTAAAGGAGCGAGCAAGGCCATCACATCCCCCGAGAGGATGCAGAAGCCCACACAGCCCCTGGGTCCTGGTGACTTCTGGGGGAAAGGGATCACGAGGACCCCGGTCCCGCCAGACTCCGTTCTGGGTTCACACTCGCCTGTGGTTTGATTCCTCCGATGCACGATGCCCATTTCCCGTCAGAATTGCCACATGCTGCAGCGGCACAAGGGTATGGACAGAGGGGACCGCTGAGCAAGAGACAGGAACCCCCTCATCTCGTGTAACTGGAGGGCAATCCTCGGCGCTTCAGCACCCTGTTCTTAGCGCCCGCAGAAAGCACCCCCTGCGGATCCAGCCCCAGCACTCCCCAGCCAAGTGTGCAAATCTAACTACACAGTCTGAGGAGAGCCGCTTTCAAAGCAGAGTCTCCTTTCTAAACCCCAAAACCCACGCCCGCTGACTGCGGGGTCATCAGTGGGTGAATCTGGCAAGCAAGCCCTCGATCACTTGGCCGGAGCTGGGTCCTCCGCGTGCAGTGGGACCGGGGAAGGCGACCAGGACCGAGGTGACCCTCACGTCCAGCAGAAGGTCCTCCGCGCAGGCCGGAGGAGAACCCACATTCAGGCCAGAACACGCCCTCCATGAGGGGCTTCCGATCAGACCCCTGTGTCCTGTTCAGCAGTTGAGCAGATGCCAGCTCTCTGTGGACTGAGTATTAAACCTGGACCACCTCCTGTTTTTCCAGACCCGATGAACACCAGGAGCTAAAGATAGTGCGGTAACATAACACTTCAGTCACAGGGTCTTTTGTGCGTGTGTGTGTTTTAAGGAAACTAAATTAAACACGAAGCAGAATCACAGAACAGGAAAAGGAGAAGCCAGCCTTGGATGAATGCGCGGGCCCAAAGGAGAAGGAGACGCATCTTATTGCAGCACCGGTGAGCTGGCGAGAGGCCTGAACTAATTACCCCTGTCTTCTGTCTCCGCCTCCCCCGCCCCTGAAGCACGTGGGCAGGCAAGGAGGACTCTCGGGCGGGATCAGAGAGGATGGGGAACTGTCAGCGCCTGTCAGAACCCCCTTGCCTGGGCGGGCCCCAGGGCTGTTCTTAGTTCCTTTCATCACTATCGAGGCAGCTGGAGCCTAGAGCAACTTAAGCTAAAAATAAAGACATTATTATAGCTGATCTCAACACAACAGGTATTTGGAAGTGGAAAACGTGAGAGAGGCTTAAGAAGTAAGTGATGGGCGTGGCATCCACTGTCTCAGCTTCCTGGAGAAACAACCCCCGTTTCTGCAGCAGGGCTCAGGTCCCCTGTTACATGTGAAGAAACGGCACATGAGCTCGGGAACGGAAGAACCTCCAGCTGGAAATCAGGGTCACGTCCGAGCGGGGGTGCCCTGCGCAGGGCTGAGCCAAAGAGCCGACATGTGGTGTGGCCACTGGTCCTCTTTACCCAGGTCGCTCGACAGGAAGCCCAGCACTGGCCCCTAAGGACTCACCAGGGCCATCCCTTCTCGTTCCGGCCGCGTCGAGGGAAGCTCTCGGGACAGTTAGCGTTACTCAAGGCCGTGAATGGGCAGACTAACCGTGCACCGCCCCTCGAAGCCCGTGATTCATGTGGATGACGGTTCAAGAGCAAGGTGCACGGTGACAACCCACGTCCCTCAGCCGAAAGTAGACCAGCTGCTTGGAAGACTGCTGCTCTTGGAGGAGGTCTCAAAACACATGGCAGACAGGCCACCTGATGCCTGTTGCTCAGAATTCAAAGAAAGCTTATGTTCCAGAAAGCAAATTACTCATCAGTTGGATTCACCGGATTTCAGTCCAAATCAAAATAATAAAGTCTGAGAGACTAACCGGCCAAGGGTTCACTGGACTTAGAACTTTTTCTGGCAACATACTCACCCCTTTGAAAGGCAATTCTCCCTCTAAATGTATCCAACTTTTTTTTTTTTAACATATATCCACATTCTTTCTCATATTCTTTTCCATTATAATGAGCTGACTCATTGGAAAAGACCCTGTTGCAGGGAAAGGTTGAGGGCAAGAGGAGAAGGGAGCAAAGTGACAGAGGATAAGATGGCTGGATGGCATCATCAACTCGATGGAAGTGAGTCTGAGCAAACTCTGGGAGATACTGAAGGACGGGGAGACCTGGCATGCTGCAGTCCATGGGGTCGCAAAGAGTCGGACACGACTGAGCGACTAAACGATTCATTCTTTTTCATGTTCTTTTCCGTTATAGTCTGAAATGGCACTCACTCCAGTATTCTTACCTGGAGAAGCTCATGGACAGAGGAGCCTGGTGGGTTACAGTCCATGGGGTAACAAAGAGTCAGGACTGAGCGACCAAGCAGGAGCACACACGGTGGTCTGTCCCGAGACGCTGAACACAGATCCCTCTGCTGCGCAGTAGGACCTTGCTGTTTATCCGCCCTATAGATAATAGTTTGCTGTTGCCTCCAACACATTTTAAACCCTCAGCTCAGTCTCCAGTGTGACCGCTCTAGTGGTCTGAGACATAGCAGAGATGAGACAACGAAGACCCAGCAACGAAGACAGAAAGCTTTAAGCTCAGGATGGCGGGGAACCATCTTTTTGGGTGTGCCCGGTCACAGGGTGTGAGGAGGGGGGTGCAGGCTTGCCTGCCTCCAGGGCTTCAGCTCTCAGCGCCCCCCGCCCCCAAGCCTGGCAGAGGTGCTCAGAGTTCAGAGTGACGCACCCCCCACCCCCGCCCGGCCCAGAGCCACCAGTCTCCATAGGGGTCAAGGCATCAGAATTGCTGATTTTTCCAAAAATCTTCTCAAGGCAGCAGCAACCACAGCAGTTTTCCTGCAAAGCAAACAAAATATGACTCTTGTTAATTCAGCAAGGCTTTTAAAATTGTAATTAGCTGGTTGCACCCCTTAGGAAAACCACAGATGACTTTTTATAACGTATGTGTGTCTGTGAGAAAAAAAAGGAACCCCTTGAAGGATCCCACTGCTTACCAGAGCTGGGTGGGTTGTGTGTGTGTGTGTGTGTGTGTGTGTGTTTCAGTTTACGCAAGATATTTTGGTACTGTGTGCAGGATCGAAGGACAAGGCCTCTTTGTTTCACCTGAAGCGCAGCCAGCTCTGAGCTGCTGCCACCCCTGCGTCCCGCCAGCTCCGTCAGCATCAAAGTGCTGCCGGGGACGCGCATGGGACTCTCTCCATCTGCTCTTGGCTGTGTGTGACCCACGTCCTCCCTGTAGACCCAAGGGCTTGGCCCTGGTGCGCATCTCCCGGGCTAGCCATGGAGCAGCGGGAAGGAGAAATGAAATGCCACCTGGTTTGTTTTTAGAGCGCTTCCTCAACCCATCAAAAAACCTCTGACAAATTGCAGGAGATTTCTGTCCTCAATTTGCATTGCGGGTTATGCCTTATTCATAAGGCTCTTTTTCCACAGGAATCATCTCCAACCACCAGATTTTAAAAATCAATATTATCTCAAAATTGGTTTTACTCATGTTGTTTCTTGCCAAAGCTCCCAGCCCCTCCTGGCAGGAGAGATTGTGAAGCATGATCTACTGCTTTTAGCACAGCATCCTTCTCAAGGGGGGCTGCCCCCAGGGTTAATTTCTTAAGCTTACATTTTAGTTTGAGACAGAAAAAAAAAAGTGAGAAAGGAAACCAGGAAGCACCTGCATTGCATGGACATGTGGTGGGACCGGGGTGGGTTTCTGTGACCCCTGGAGGGGTGGGGGGGGACCCAAGAAGGGAAGGTGGCCAGCCTGAGTGGCCGGCATGGAGTGGACCAGGCCAGGTTTGGAGTGGTCTCGCTGAGCATCTGCAACAAAGATGCTGCGTTGCCAGGGCAACCGGCTCAAAGCACTTTGTCCTTTGGGAAGGTCATGTATACACTGCTACATTTAAAATAGATAACCAACAAGGACCTACGACACAGTACTTGGAACTCTGCTCAGCTATGTGCCAGCCTGGATGGGAGGGGAGTTTGGAGAGGATGGATACATGTACACCTACACGTATAGCTGAGTCCCTTGACTATTCACCTGAAACCACCACAGCATTTTTAACTCACTGTACTCCAATACAAAATAAAAAGTTTAAAGTTTGGGGGAAACAAAGAAAAACACAACCTTTTGTCCTTGTCCTGCTGGCTGCCACCCCCTTCCGTCGCCTTGGGTTCAAGAGCAAACCTCCTGGGAAGGACTCGGCCGTCGCCCACTGCCTTTTCGCCTCATCCTTCCCACCAGCCCCTGGCGCCAGGCCTCCTTCCTGGGCACCTCCTGGCACCCAGTGACCTCGCTCCCACCAGCCCCCAGAGCCCGCCCAGGGCTTATGGTGGGAAGGTGGTTTGCGGCAAACCCTCAGGGCTTGTGGTCGCTGGGGACTGAGCGGCCTCTGGGCAGGGCTGGGGGAGAGAAGGACCGCCGGGGCGTGCTGCCTGCAGACCTCGGGCCCACGGCTCCCAGCGAGGCCGGGATGACCCGCACCTCAGGGGGTGCAGACGGCCCTCCTTCTCCACCGTGTCACCAGATGTGAGGCTACCCCCTGCAGTTCCCAATGCCAACTCCCCGCTAGTCTGGTCAAACAAGAACGGTCTTTGTATGTCAAAAGCAAAAGCTTTCCCGTTGACATCACATCAGTCTCTAAGCAAGCGATAGGGTGCCCAGTAAGGGACCCTCGTGCCAAAGCTGGGGTGTTCGCTGACGCTGGTTCGTGACTTGTATGATGATTTGCTGATTTATTTCTACCCCGTCTTACTCCTCAACAGACTCAAGGCAGCTTACAAGAGCACATACAGTCAACAGACCAACAAAACCTTGGGGCCAGAGTAGATACAAGTCAGAGGGAGAGTCCAGACGGGCCGGCTGCAGAATGCCGCCTCACGAGGCTCGAGTCCAGCAGGGCTGCTGAAGCCGAGCTGCCCGGCCGGCCGTGGACTCGCAGCCCAGGTGACGGGGCGGCCCCCGAGCGTCCCCCGCACCACACGGGGTGCTGGGGCTTCTCGAAGTCCTCTGGGATGCTGCACGGCCCTCAGCCTCTCCTTTGGGACACGCGTGTGCGTGTGCGTGTGCGTGTGCGTGTGCGTGTGTGTGCGCGCGTGCACGCTCGGATTCTCAGCTGTGACTGATTCTCTGCGATCCTATGGGCTGTAGCCCACCAGGCTCCTTGGTCGATGGGAGTCTCCAGGCAAAGATACTGCAGTGGGTTGCCCTGCCCTCCTCCAGGGGGTCTTCCCAAGCCAGGGATCGAACCCATGTCTCTTATGCCTCCTGCACTGGCAGACGGGTTCTTTACCACCTGGGAAGCCCCCTTTAGGCCACAAATTGGACCATTTATTGATGTAACAGCACCTGCTCATGTGTGACACTCCTTCTCTGAATAATTCTGACATAATTCTAAGCAAGCAGAGGCTTTGTATGAAGAGGCAGCTCCTTGGGGTCCAAGAAGGGGTCTGGGCCTGGCAACAGCTCGGGAGGAGAAGAGAGAGCAGAGGCCCCGAGAGGGTCAGGCCCCACTGTGCCCCTGGCTGTGCCCAGCAGGCAGGGCCTCAGGCTCCCCGACTCTGCAGACACGCTCCCTCCCCTGTTACCTCAGCTACGTACAACGTGGCAAGGACTCCTGGGAGCCCTCCTGAGGACCTACTGTGCGCTGAGCCCCGGTCTCCGGCTTTGCTTGGATGGTCTCAGTGGAGCCACTCAACAAGGATGGGAAACGAGACTGTCCCCAGTCCACACATCACAAGACAGAGGGCTCTCTGCTAGGAAACAGCAGAACAGACCCAAACACAGCCGTCCGGCCTCAGGGCCTCCCCAGGAGGAAACGCGCCCCGCTGCGCACGGTGAGACAGCCAGGCTCTCCCCGCCCTCTCTAGGCTCAGAGGCCCCTTCAGACCAACCTTTCAGGAGGGCGCTTTCCGGACACTATTTGGTCACCAGGTCCTGGGCATCAGAGCAGCAATTCTTCCTCTTCTAGGAAAACCAGGAAGACATTTTGAGAAGGGTCAGAACTGACGCGATCCGATGATACCTGAAGAGGCGGGGTTCCTGCAGAGACGCCCCTGGACCCTGACGGCTCACGGCCGCAGAATCCGGCTCGAGGGCGTCCCCCTCCCCAGCCCCTCAGCGGACCCGTCATCACCGCTCTTCCCCTCGGAGTCACGGGCAGAGAGACTCGCACGCCATGACCCTTGTTAATTCAGTGAGGCTTTTAAAATTGTAATCAGTTGGTTGTGCCCCTTAGAGAAACCACAAATGACGTTATAATGTATGTGTGTCTGTGAGAAAAAAAGGAACCCCTTGAAGGATCCCAGTGCTTACCAGAGCTGGGGGGTTGTGTGTGTGTGTCTGTGTGTGTCTGTGTTGTGTGTGTTGGCAGTGAGGAGGCCGTCCTGGAGAAAGGGCATTGGGAGTGGACCTTGGACACTGCCCAGGACTTGGGCTGACCTGGGCGCAGGGCTGGGGCCCCAACACTGGCACCCATGCCTAGAAGAGGGCACGGGGGTTCAGGGTGCAAGAAGGGGAAGGCTGGGGGTGTCTCTCATCAGGGGACAATGTGGTCAGAACTGTAACTAAGGAAGGGATGATCTGGTGACAGGGACGAGAGCGGGTGCACGTAGACCCTGAGCACGTCCACTGTCTTATCAGCTCAGTAAATGGGAAGCAGAGGATGAGGCCGGCACCCAGGAGACGGGAGGAGAGGTGGATGGTCACGAGCTGCGGGAGGAGACAATCGGTCCCACCCGCTCGGCCTCCCCGCCCCCAGCCCCAAAGCGGGGACTGTGTCTGCACAGCTGCTGGCCAAGGGCTCACGGTTTGCCCGCCGGGAGGCTCTGCCACAGCCCAGGCTCTGTCTGACGCAACGGGTCCCGTGCGGGTGGTGGGCTCGGCCCCGTGAGCCCGGCTCAGGAGGTAGAGACCGCGGGCCTCAGTGTCCAAGGAGAATCCTTCTAAGTTTACGGATCACGGGCATGCTTGGTGGTTGGGAAACAGGAAGTGCTTTGAAGCACGAAACAATGAAAAGAGACAAATAAAAGTTTATTATGAAAACTCTGAAATATCAAAATTTTTAAATAGTTTGGGTAAGAGTTGAATTTTCAACATGAAGTTGAATCCTGGTTCTACAGGACATAGAAACAGGATTTTCACAGAAGTGAATCACCTAGAAAAAATTATTCTCAATATTTCACCGAAAAATAAAATATATTAAGCTTGAGTGTTGTCTTTCAGTAACATGAAAGATGTCACACAAGGGTGGTCCTGGAAATGGCACAGGCCCCCTTGGCCCAGCAGCCCGCCTCCAGCGGGACGGCAGAGTGGGGACCCTCGCCCGACTCCAGGGCCTGCTGCTTGTGGTGGGATCCTGGGTGGGTCTGTAGCCCTGTCCTCAGCGGCCCATTCACATAAAGGGCATGGTGGCATGTCTGTTTGAGAGCATCGGCCTGAGGACCAAGTGAGTTCACTCTGAGGCCGTCAGAACAGCGCTTGGCACAGCGCTGTGCAATTTCAACTTTCATGGTAACTAACTGCATTTGTACAATGGAATATTTTTTTGTTTAATCCTCACCATCCCTGAAATATCTATTCACCTTAGGTACCAGCAGTTGGATAAAATAACAAAAAGGTGATTTTTGTTGTTATATGGTCTAAAAAATATTTTTAAACACTTTTACACCGTATAATGTCATTAATTATCTGTTGTGGTTTCCATATTGTCCACCACGTCAAAGTGTATTTGGACACCAATAAGCTTGGATAAAAATACATGGGTGGAAAATTGGCCCAGAATAGGTTGGTAACCCTAATAAGCAGTTTATGCCGTCTGGGTGAGGTACCTACCAGGGAATCAGCCTATTTTTACTTGACATCAGTACCAATTATCAAGGAAAGGTATATTCAGACACAAATAAAACTTACAACTGATGCCGAATTTAGAAGTAATTTCAATAAAAACTGGATGTGGAAAAAATGAGTACCTGGGGCACAGTCATCGCAGGGTTTGGTCAGTGGAAAAGCTCCACTCCAAACCCCGGAGGAGCGAAGATGGAGGGGAGGGGAGTGTACGAGGCCGACCAGTCCCCTCCATGGTGAGTCTGACGGCAGGGCCTGCCCACCGCCTCCCTGGGTGTCGCGACCCGTTGACCACGCTAAATGTTCAGGAAAGCTGCTTAGACGCGACCCGTCTGCCTCAGTGCTGTTTATATGATCCACGGCGATCTAGACGTGGACGTCAGCGGGAGGCGATGGCAGTCACTCGGGTGACAGACGGCCTCTGTCTAGACAACCGTCGTGGTGGTGGGGACTGTACAGATCCCAGGAACAATCAGTGCAGAACTTGGAGGTAAATTACCGATGAGATGAAGGGACTGGGCGAGGGAGAGGGGGCACAGAGACGTGCTGGGGTCTGGGAGGGCGGCGGGGACGGTGGCAGGGATGGTGGCGGGCGGCGAGACAGTCCAAGCGGAGATGGCCTGCTCACAGGGGAGTATTCGGACCCAAAGCTTAGGAAGGAGACCTGTGCTGGAGGGACCGACGAGGGATGTGAGATGTTAAGTGCTGACTAGGGTGGTGAGAGGCAGTCGGGAGTTTGCGTAAGATGTGACCACACGGGGCGGCCTGATCACTCTCGAGGAACACCCCACCATTCAGTCTCTGCTCAGACTTTGGTAAGAGTCTCCTTCACACGCACTTACATTAATCTCTTGTCCAAGCTGAATATTACCTTTTTTTTGGTGCTTAGAGCACACTAAAGCAGGCAAGCAGGGAAGTTAGAATTCTGAGCTCTAAGTAGGGGATTTACCTTGAATGTATATTAGCATGTATTCTCCGAAACTTTATGAGTCCCTGTGCCCTAGGCTAAACGTGTGAGTGTGGTTGCAGTTACGGTGGCGATGCAATTCACTTTGTGATGGATACAGTAATTAAATAATAAATGTAATGGTTCTGCTGAAAATAATTCTCTAGCATAGTTAGCATCATTAAAAGGCACAAATAGCTTAATAAAACCATTTTAGGCAATTTAGCACTAGCAGAAGATTAGAAGGCTGTGAGAAACTAATTAGAAAGAACGTCACTCGAGGCTAAGGTGCCGCTAGCATCTGATCGTCAGAAGGTTGAAGCCGACTAGAAGAGAAGCAGCCGTGGTTACCTGCGTGCGGAGCCTGGAGTGCAGCTTGTGATCCGACAGCCAAGGGTGCTTGAGAGCCTCACTCGCGCTGATTCTCCAGCTAAAGGGAAAGGCAGGGGTTATTAGGGACCCAGCAAACGAGACCTTGGCTCTGACCACCGCCTTTGGGAGACCAGATGGCCTCATGTCAAGTTGCCAGGCAATTCTGTCTTCTGTAGAATTAGTATCAGGGACAGGTTACCCTCCAATGCCATTAGGGTAACACTATTGGTAAGACAAGCAAGAAACAATTCTGAAATCTTTCTGCCACCTGAACATCTTCCTTCAAATAGAAATAACCATTCTTGATGAGATGTCTGAGCTGCATAAATTGAACTTCTATCTTCCCAATCCAGGGATCGAACCTGTATCTCCTGCTTAGCAGGCAGGTTCTTTACCACTGAGTCACCAGGGAAGCCTGATCTTCAATAAATATTCACCACATTGTATTTAAGCCTCTTTTAAAAACTACTCTTTTGAACTGCGGTGTTGGAGGAGACTCTTAAGAGTCCAACCAGTCCATCCTAAAGGAGATCAGTCCTGGGTGTTCACTGGAAGGACTGATGCTGAAGCTGAAGCTCCAATACTTTGGCCACCTGATGAATTTTTCCATTTTGGAGGTTTCTTGTTTTCCTTTTTTTGTCTTTTAAAACTTTCTTCTTTTTAAAATTATTTTTATTTATTTTTAATTTGTTTTCTTTTTTCTTTGCATTTTTCTCTTATGTTTTTGGGAGTTGTCTCTTAAAATTTTTGTTATTTAGTTTTATCTTTTGTCATTATATATTTTAGACAGAATCGTCTGAAAAGTATGTTTGACTGGCTCATCACAATCCTCCACCCCCTCCATGATTATAAAATGTGAGCCCCTGTATTTCAGTATCAGTACTCTTCAACCACTGAATTCTGAATTATTAGCAAGACAGAAAGCAGGCCATTCATACATAACAGTCACGCGCATGGCCTTGTGTTGATTCTTGGTTCTGTCACTTAACCGGCCATATGATCTCGGAGTCTCATCAAAGAACAAAGACTGATAATGCCCTCCTCCCACGGAGCTGGGAAGGGGGTAAAGAGAACACGTCTGCAGAGCAGCGGGCAGGCCGGGCCCACAGCTGGCTCTCCCATGAAACAACCGTCAAGCATTCAGCGGCGTGGAGCCCCTAGCCCCACTCAAGCCCTGCGATCACAGCAGTTCCAGGTTTAGGAGGCTGGGTGGGGGGCATCAGAGTCACCCTGTCTACAGCAGGTGCATCAGGGAGACCACCGCGGGGGCTGCTGGCACTTCTCTGCCTGCGGTCCCCTCAGCCCCGGGGCCCCACCTCTCTGTTCCCCCGGCCTCCTCCTGAGCCCAGAGGGGACGTGGTCACCTCTTCTCCTTAATGAGAAGCTTGGAGATGAACTCCCGGGCCTCCTCCGAGACGTCCTGGAACTCTTGATCCTCCAGGTCCCACCTGCAGGCCAGGATGTTGTTCAGGGTCTCAGCATCGTCATCGCCCAGGAAGGGGGACAAGCCGCTGAGTCTGTAAGACACGGTGTCCAGGGTGAGAAGTCTTTAAACACCCTCAGACTCTGCAGAGACAGGAGCCTTCCTGGTCCTGTCATCTAAAACGGAAAGAAGGCAAATAACCAAGAATTGTGGCTCAGTGATAAAGAATCTGCCTGCAACGCAGGAGTTACAAGGGATGTGGATTCAGTCCCTGGGTCGGGAAAATCCCCTGGAGGAGGGCACGGCAACCCACTCCAGTATTCTTGCCTGGAGAAACCCGGGGACCGAGGAGCCTAGCAGACAGTCCATGGGGTCGCAAAGAGTCAGACACGAGTGAGCGACTCGCGAGCCTAATTTTATGTTTATAAGCAGTGGTTGTGATGAAGGCACAGCTACCCTCAAACACGAATCTCACAGCATAACACAAACACCCTTTTAACGTATTGTACTGCAGAGTGCCATCACATCCTTGGATGGCAGACGCCAGGAATGACCCCCTGAACTGTGAGGCTGCTTTGTCACTCGGGATCAGGACGTAGGTTGGAGGTGTTTTTTAAGTTACTTTTAGAGCATAGGATGGTGTCCTAGGAATTCGGGTGATGAGTGAAGAAGACAGACTGTTACTTTTTCTGATGATATAAGGAAAGAATTTACTCCTTTACCCACCAGAGTCAGCAGAACATGGGAAGTACCTGAGTATGGGGCAGAGTTATTTATCTTTGAAAGATCTAACTTAGGGCTTTATTCAAAGTAGCAAATGGAATATGCATGGCAATTGAGAACAAATGACCAAGGGGCTGAGGGGTCTGCTTACAGCATGTAGGTGATGACACCCACACTCCACATATCAGTGGGAAAGGAGACAAAATCGTAGTTCACAACTTCAGGGGCGAGGAATTCAGGAGTTCCAAAGTTCACCTTCAGCTTCTCTCTGGGTTTGTACCTGAAGTTTAGGAGACAACACGGAGGAATGAAGAGGGTCTGTCAAAACTCGAGGAAACAGAAAGGATACAGTCTATAAGCAAAGTAACTGCAGCCACACAGCACAGTTAGCATAAACAGCCTTTAAAGGAAATCATGCATTACAGAGACAGTGTCCAAAACTGGTAACGAAGCTTCCCACCAGAGAGCCTTAATAATCTGAAATGGTTGTGAGAAAAGCCACTCGGAATAATTAGAACACCTGAATTATGAAACATGACCGAAGGAGCCGTGATACAGACTGTGCCCTGTCGACGGCTTGAGCAAGTTTAATGAACAGAGAAGATGCAGCGGTTCACGACCGTCTGATGTTGCACTCAGGCACTGAGGTCCCTGTAAACTCTGTTCCCTTAAGGAGCTTATCTCTGCCCGAACCCTTGGCAATCCTGCTCACACAATTCCTTTTTAAAGTAAATCTTCGCAAAAATAAATAAATAAATAAAGTAAATCTTCGCTTTACAGATGGACCAAATACAAAAGACTAAAACAAACTCTTACAAATTATGGATTACTGTCTTAAAATTTGATGACTGCGCTATACTAGCTTTTAATATTCCATATTTTTCTTGCACGCACTGTAAGAAACTCCTAAACGTTCAAATACTGAAGCCAGCAAAGTAAAGCTGAAACATAATTTTGGTTAATTCTAAACAGGGATACAAAACCAAGGGGTATATCAGATTTATCTTTGCAAAGAAAGGTCACCCATCATGTTCTCTAACTCAATTCATACACCTATGTCCAGATTGACATACCTTCTGGCCAATCCAAAGTCAATAATTTTTATTTGTTTAGTGTCCCGATTCACACACAGGATGTTCTCAGGCTGCCAGGAGAAAGAGACACATTAGCAATGAAAACAACCATCCTTCACTCAAATTGTCCTTGAACCACAACTAAAAATACAACGATGCTCAGGAAAAACATATCAGGCCTTTCACTTTGGGGCGGGCTTGTCTGTGTGGGTATTTTCTCCTTTAATTATGTGGTGGATGAGGTTGTGGGCCCCTGCCAAGCCTGCATGACCTTGCCTTCCCTCCCCCACCGGCTCTGCAGTTGACGACCATGCCTGAGTTCAGGCCAAGGCCTCCTGCCTCAGGACTTTCCAAACGGCCTGGTGGAGGCCGTCTCAGACTTGACATCCACCCCCCGAAAATTATTAAGTATGAATTTCCCTTTCTTGGAGGAATATTTTTGCCGAGGATTTATGAGTTCCAGGAGAAATGGCCTGCTTCATTCCACCAGCCGCGCTGAGCACGCACCCGAATATGAGCAGCCCTGACCCCCAGGCCCGCCTGCGCTCAATCTATGGGAAAGTCATCTGTAAGTGGGGGACTCCTCCACCCCCGTCCATTCTTCATCCTCCGCAATGCCAGAGATTTGCTGAGTTTGGCCTCAGTGCCTAGAAGCCTTGACTAAGCCTTCCCTTGGAGTTTGCCTCTGGAAAGACTTGGCCCTGCCAATGGGATGGTCTTGGGGTGCAGAGGAGAGAGGGAGATAGAACTGCAACTCGGTATTTCTAGAACACCGGACAAGTGCACCTACCTTCGTTAGGATGGGAGACCCGAGGGGTGGGAAAGATAAGGGATCTGACTTAAAGTCAAGGTCATCCTTAAAAGAGAAATAGAGGTTTCAAAGAACTGCCTGAACTCTCAAGCTCTAACTAATCCCAAATCTTCCCTAAGCGCTAGGAGGGGGCATTAGCCGAGGTGCCAAGTGCCCAGGATTGCACATCCCACCCTTCACATGGGGTCATGGCTGCCCCCTACCCTGCCTGTCCAGATGGAGGAGAGGCTAGACTGAGATCAGAAACACAGCAACACTTGGCGAAACGAGCGAGTACCGGCTTGGCGGTGGTGGTTGAGTCACTGGGTTGTGTCCGACTCTTTGCTACCCCATGGACTGTAGCCTGTGGGGCTCCTCTGTCCCAAGCAAGAGAACTGGAGTGGGTTGCCATTTCCTGCTCTAGTAGTGTCTGCTTGTCAACATTCAGTTGTCCATTTGGTTGGGCATAATGTCATTGGAAGCTTTTTTTCTAAAATATCTCTAAAACAGATGTCTCTAGGCAAAGGCAATTTATAGAGAAGTGGGTGCTACACAGGAAGACGTGGCCCCGTGCTCACATAACTGATTGATTATGTATCAAGCTGTCCAGTTGCCAAAGAGCACCATGACACAAAAGAATTATTTGAAGAATATTAAAAAAAAAAACCCAGCTCTGAGGGCACTTCAGAGTTAATTTTTCTTCTAATTATAAAATTAAAGCACATTCATTGAATAAGATTTACAAAACACAAAAAATCCAGGAAGAAGACCACTTTAAGTCAGCTATAATCTCCCCTACAGAGAGACAAGCCTTTGGTATTTTTGGCCCCCCTCCTTCCAAGGAGCTTTCTGAAAGGGCGCCTGGGCCTTAATGACCCATCCAGCTGTCGCCTTTATTGCATCTTTACATTTGAGCCACAACTAAAACTGCCCATTGCAAGTCCTCAATCAACATTATGAAGCCGCATATGGAGCTGTTTGACTTACGACAGGGCAGGTCCTCGCTTCAGCTGCCAATCAAACCCCTGTAGGGATATTTGGAGAGTATCTACACTCAATGAAAATGCTCCGTGAAAGTATGCATCATCAAACTGGTCCATAACCATGGGCTCTGCTAATGACTGTTAACCTCTGGCTCTGTCATCCTATCGACCACTTCCCCCTGCCCTGTGGATGGGAGAGGCAAGCACGTAAATCAGGACGGTGAGAGGAGCCAAGTTACAGGAACGGAGGCCCATGGAAACCTCTTCAAGGAAGCTGAATTTATTTACCTCTGCAATCCCTGATGACTTGCAGTAGATGGTATGTTCTACAGAATGTATATTTTATCTCAGTGTCACACTGTGCAAACAGGGAAGTGAGGAAACGACGGAGCCACACAAGAAGATGCACTTGATGATGTGAGAGCTGCTCAGAGTCATTGGGCCCCGTATTTCGCTGGTTGTAACTATGCACAGTCCCATTACAGGGACTTCATAATGGGAGAGAGAGCGAGCGGGAAAGGTCGTAAAATAAGAGGAGAAAGAGGGTGAGCTTCCCACTGTTTACAACAGGTTCGCACGGCTCCCAGGGTGGTGCCCAGCCCCACCCACCACCCTTCTGCCCCTCAGCTCTCAGCACCTCCCCCTGGGTCCCATTCTGCCATACCATTCTCCTCCCGACTCTAGCAGGCTCATAGAAAAATAATCCCTAAAGTCCAGAGCCTCCTGGAGGGTTTTAGAGGACTGCTGGGGATTCTGGAGAGTTGGGAAGTTTGACCACAACCAGGGAACTCTGAGTTAGCTAAAATTCCTCCCACCTACTCAAACTGATAATGAGGGGATGCAACCAGGATGCAGCCAGGGTGGTGGTGATGGTGATGGGGGTGATGGTGATGGGGGTGATGGTGATGGGGGTGATGGTGATGGTGGAGGCGATGGTGGTGATGGTGGAGGTGGTGATGGTGATGGTGGTGATGGGGGTGATGGTGATGGGGTGATGGTGATGGGGTCGTGATGGTGATGGGGTCGTGATGGTGATGGGGTCGTGATGGTGATGGGGTCGTGATGGTGATGGGGTGATGGTGATGGTGGAAACCAGCTTCCTGTGAGTTCCTTTAACATAAGCAGCTTAGAGGAAGACTCTGAGCAGCAGGGCCTAAGGTCGGAGACAAGCATGTCTTCACTGAGATCAGGGAGATGAAGCTAAGAGTCCGGAGTTTTCAAACTCCTGAATACGTACCCAGCGACAGGCTCTGTCTCCCAGGCCGGCATCCTGTACTCGCGGGGCCCACGGACCCACCTGAGGGAAAGGCTCGCGTGCCCTCTGAGGAGGAGCGCAGCCTACCTTCAGGTCCAAGTGCAGGATGTACATCTGGTGCATGTGTCTTATCCCCTCGCATATCTGCCTGATGAACAGGATGGTGTCGAACTCCGTCAGGCTGCAGTTGTCGTCGATGATGCGGTCGAAGAGCTCGCCTCCGTCCACGCTGCGGGGGAGGGGGCGAGTCCCCAGTCAGCGCCCTCGACAGGCACCTGCTCTCTGCGTCGGAGCGCTGCTGACCTGCCCACGGGATGCATCTGCAGCTGCGTCTCTCTACCTCCTCGATAAGATGCCTCTGACGGTGACGGCCGTCGCTGGAGCCACCACCACTTGCTCAAATGGAAAGTCTCAAAGCCCCTCCCTTGCAGGGGCTGCGGCTCTGGGGTGGGTCTGTCCATCTCTAAGGGTGGGTCTGCCCACCTCTGCCATCTCCTAAGGAGCATGGAGGCCCAAGAGGACGTAGGAAGGCAGGGATGGAGGGAATTCCAAACTCCTCGGGAAGGTTAGGCTGATTTCAGCAGTAAAGTGCTTATGTGGAGCTCATGCTGGATGTTTTAATATCCGAAATTCCTATCACACAATGACAAGCAAAACCCGAAGTGGGGGCTGGGGGTGGGGAGGTGAAATGAGTCACAAGCGCAGATTCAGTGTTGGTAGAATGACTCACTTTCTAACTAAACACTCAATTTTTTATAAAGGAGATTTAATTTCATTTTTTACAATTTTTTTAAGTTTTTTTTTTTTGATGTGGACCATTTTTAATGTCTTTAATGAATTTGTTACAACACTGCTTCTGTTTTATGTTTATGTTTAGCTGCCAGACCAGGGATTGAACCCGAAGCCCTTGCATGGTGAGGGGACGTCTTAACCACTGGACCACGAGGGCAGGCCCTAGAAAGGTGATGTTAAACAGAAGCCTCTTAGCTCTACTTGTAAGAGTCTGGCACGAGTTTTGTTTTCGCCATCAGGTCACAAGTAGGACACAGTTCAAGGCTCACTGCTCCAGGGTGTCCAGAGCAAGAGTTAAGCTGGGGCCTCGATAGTTCAGCTCATGTTTGAAGCTAAATCTGTGTGGTCATCCTGCTGCTTAGCAACAGAATCTCACGTGGAAACCCTTTCCTGAGTAATTTCCATCCCGCGGCAGATGCAATTCTGACACATGCGAGTCAGAATCCCAGGGTCCAGCGGGGTCCAGCAGCTGGAGGCAGGACAGGGCGGCGTGCTGAGGGCCCGGATGTGTGTGTAGGATGGGGAGGGGGTGGGGGACGTACTACTCCATGACCAGGACGATGTCGTTCTTAGACTCGAAGGCGTCGTAGAGTTGGATGAGGTTCACGTGGTCCAGCTGGTTCATGACGCTGATCTCGTTCCTCACGTCGTCCTATCGGAGAGAGGACTGGTTTAGTGCTGGGGGGGGGTGGCGGCAGCCCACGGCGTCCACTGCGCGGCCCTTACCTTGTCCTTCACGCCCCTGGTCTTGATGATCTTGGCCGCCAGCTTCAGGCCCGTGGCCTTCTCCTCACACTTGTGAACTTGGCCGAAGCGCCCACTGCAGGAGAAGAGGACGTGGCCCGGGTGAGGCTCTGTCCCCACCTGGTGGAAGCTGAGGCTTTTCAGCACCCCTCTCTGACTTGAGTGAGCAAGCCTGACGTGCCCCTACCGTTGCCAAATCTCCTGGAACAGGTCAAGTTCTGGCCTTGGGGTCACCTGGGCCCTCCTGAAGCAGGAAGCCTGGGGAAGGCCCCAGAAGCTGCACTTTCACAACATCTCTTGGGTGGTTCTCATGCACCCTAACATTTGAGGGCTTCTATTGTATAGAAAATAGAATCTTTCTGAATGCATGTGAATCTAACAAGCTAGGTTCTCTAAGCATAAGAATGATACAGGCTGTTGGTCGGGGAAATCAGATTATTTTTGGAAACTGCATATAAATAAATAAGAAGTAATCACAAAATTGCATATAGACACATTTAATCAAAGCAGACACTACACACTTTAGCTTGGATATCAATTTAAATGCACTTCGTAAGGCAGCTTCTTACAAACGTCACCACCTCCCCAAATACACACTCATGAGCAGTCTTCCCATTTGACTTGCTTGCTGTGATTCCTGACTCAGTGTAATGGCCAGGGAGCTGGGGAAGGTCACCCCAGCCCACCCCACTCAGCCACACTCCCTGCACAGAAGCAGGATGCATCCTGGGGCAGGGGTGGGGGTGACATTACCGAAAGCAACGCCAAGTGTGACCTCAATCCCACCCACTGTTCCAGACGTGCTCTCTCTCCTGGAGCCCATGAACACAGCTCCAGGCGCTTCAGATGTGGCTGCTCATTAAGAACGGGCTTTTCCCCTTAATTAGCAATGGCCCCCGGATCGGCCTGGCCCAGCCGTGGTGCCACGTCCGTCACTGCTCAGCTTCAGCGCCTCCGTCCGCCCCTCTGGCAGGCTTCACCCTGCAAGGCCTGGGGCGGGAGGTGGCCTCACAGGGTCCCTGCTGGCCCGCCAGGCTGATAACCTCATGCTAGGAATAATTGACCATGGTGAGCAGCAACTCTAATCACCCCACAGACCACAGGTGGGGAGAGTACCCCGGGAAAACGGAGGGGCCTGCCGCGGCGTGTGGGGCCCCGGCGTCCAGGCCCCAGGCTGTGGCTCCGCCGACAATGCAGGACAAGAGGCTGCATCTCGACTCGCCCCTGACTGAGAGGAGGTCCCCGCTGATGAGGTCAGCATGCCCAGCTAACTGCCCCTCTAATTCCTCACTGAGCCCGGGACGGGGCAATGGGTGGCTGGAAGCGTGGCCCAAAGGGGCAGGAAGGAGACTCTGAGAGTCACCGAGAGACCTCGACCAGAAACACACACAAACCCTGGGGTTGCTCCAAAGCCGCTTCTGCAAATAACTTTTCTCCTTTAGAGAGACAGGGGCTGGCTTGCCACCCCCGTCCCTCGAGACCCTGATAAGCTAATGCTTGCCGTGAAACTAGGGGGCCTCAGGCACCGCTACCTGCTCCGAAAGCCCCGTCCCCCTCAACCATCCTCACAGGCCGGGGGGCCTCTCTGCCAGCCAAGAAGGAGAAAGTTCGGGTGCGTCCCGTGACAGATGGCAAAGGAGCCGTGGGATGGGAAAAGCCAGGAGGGGCTTTGCAGAGTCAGCCGCACCCCTGACCACAGGCAGAAACACCTGTGCTAAGAGCCACACGTGCTTTCCCCATATTGTAAGTAAATTTCTATGTGTTGAATACATGTACAATCTTCCTGCTTTCTGCCTCTTACTCTACATAGATTGTTGGTGGGAGTCAACTTAATACTGGAAGTCACAAGACCTCACGGGGGGTCGTGGCTGAGGTAGGAGAGGAAGGACCCTCCTTCCTGATGGACTCGCCTCCTTCAGGGAGGGAGTATGTGTGGATGTCCTACCAGCAAGCCCTTCAGGGAGGCATGTCACCAACTGAAATGAATGGTGCTATCAGTGCAAATGGAAAACCAATGATGATAAAAAAATATATTTAATGAGATATTTAATGTGCCATGAGATAAACAGCCTTCACGCATTTCTACACTTTGCTCCTCAGCGTTCAAGCTTCTAAACCTCCTGGAGACTCACTCACACCTCTTTCCTCTCACTCCAGACAGGATGACACGGAAAGTGAAGCAGATGAAACACGGAGGGTAGTCACCTCATCAACCTTTCTGGCATCAGCGACAATTTTCAGAAATGGTTAAAATCACTTAAAATAACTGTATATGATGTTTCTGGTTCTCTGGTTGAGACTGACAGACATCTCTGAAATCTTTAAGACCCATCTCTGTTTGTAGCAGCACTATTCACAATAGCCGAGGCGTGGAAGCCAGCGGAGCGTCCACCAACAGATGGGGGATGAGGAATGTGTGGATATATATTCAGTTCAGCTCAGTAACTCAGTCGTATCCGACTCTTTCCATCCTCATGGACTGCAGCACGCCAGGCCTCCCTGTCCATCACCAACTCCCGGAGCTTGCTCAAACTCATGTCCATCAAGTTGGTGATGCCATCCATCTGCCATGAAGTGTTGGCTTAAAGCTCAACATTCAGAAAACTAAGATCATGGCATCCACTCCTTGGAAGGAAAGTTATGACCAAACTAGACAGCATTTGTATTAAAAAGCAGAGACATTACTTTGTCAACCAAGGTCCAACTAGTCAAGGCTATGGTTTTTCCAGTGGTCATATATGGATGTAGAGTTGGACTATATAGAAAGTTGAGCACCAAAGAATTGATGCTTTTGAACTGTGGGGTTGGAGAAGACTCTTGAGAGTCCCTTGGATTTCAAGGAGATCCAACCAGTCCATCCTAAAGGAGATCAGTCCTGGGAGTTCATTGGTAGGACTGATGTTGAAGCTGAAACTCCAATATTTTGGCCACCTGATGCAAAGAGCTGACTCATTTGAAGTGACCCTGATGTTGGGTAAGAGTGAAGGCAGGAGGAGAAGGGGACAACAGAGGATTAGATGGTTGGATAGCATTACCAACTCAGTTGACACGAGTTTGGGTAAACTCTGGGAGTTGGTGATGGACAGGGAGGCCTGGTGTGTTGCAGTTCATGGGGTCACAAAGAGTCGGACACAACTGAGCAACTGAACTGAACTGAACTGAACTGAACTGATGGGACTGGAAGCCATGATCTTTGTTTTCTGAATGTTGAGCTTTAAGCCAACTTTTTCACTCTCCTCTTTCACTTTCATCAAGAGGCTCTTTAGTTCTTCACTTTCTGCCATAAGGGTGGTGTCATCTGCATATCCGAGGTTATTGATATTTCTCTCAGCAGTCTTGATTGCAGCCTATACATATCACTCAGTCATAAAAAGAAGGAAATAATGCCATTTGCAGCAACATGGATAGACCTAGAGATTATCACGCTAAGTGAACTAAGTCAGACAGAGAAATCAAACAGCATGATATCACTTATATATGGGGTCTAAAAATACGATACTTTTAACTTATTTACAAAGCAGAAACAGACTCACACACCTAGAAAAGAAACTTACAGTTACCAAAGGGGAAAGGTGGGTGGTGTGGTTCTAAATTAGGAGTTCAGGGTTAACCTATAAACATCACTATATATAAAATAGATAACCAACAAGGACCTATTGTATAGCACATGGAACTCTACTCAATATTCTATAATAACCTGCAACGGAGAAGAATCTGAAAAAGAATAGATAAATATAGATGTAATTGAACCACTTTTCTGTACACCCAAAACTAACACATTATAAATTAACTATACTCCAATATAAATTTAAAAATATGAAAATTCAGTACAAAAACCAAAAAAAGTAAAATTAAAAAGATAAAACACGTAAAAATTTTTAAAAAGACCTGTGTCTTTGAAAGCAGTCTTTCTTCCTTGTCAAGAGAGTGCTGAAGAGGCGCGTCACTCACCCTCCTAAGATCTCGGTCCTGCTCACGGTGTAGAAGCTGTTGACCGCGGCCTGCCTGGCCGTCACAATGCGGTGGTCAAAGGGCGCGGGCGGTGCTGGGGCGTCAGCTGGGAGGCGAGAGGAGAAGGCTGGTAAGAAGCACCCCATGTGCCAACGTGCTCGTTTAGAAGCAAAACGCAAGCGGCCCCCTGGATTTCAAAAGACCCGGGAACATAGATCTTCATTTCATATGGTGATTTGTGGATCATGAAGGTGACACCTGACACTTTTGAGAAAGGTTGTCAGGACCTTGGTCCCCACCTTCTTCGGGGCAGCGTTCAGAAACAACGAAATAATCAAAGATCTCCATATAATGCCCAAACAGGTAATGCTTACAGGTCTGAGTCATTTACACTCAAATCCCTGACACTGTTTGACCCATTTTTTCAAAAGCACAATTGATAAAGTCCATAATTTTAATTAGAGAGAAAAAAAAATGAAAAATTTCTTCCGTCATTGAAAGGTTTGATATTACTAAACATGACTTTCCAAAATATTTTAGCCTTTATTTAAGACACATTTAAAGCTTCAAGGGGCTTCCCTGGTGTCTCAGTTGGTAAAGAGTCCACCTGCAATGCAGGAGACCTGGGTTCGATCCCTGGGTTTGGAAGATCCCCTGGAGAAGGGAAAGTCTACCCACTCCAGTGTTCTTGCCTGGAGAATCCCATGGACAGAGGAGCCTGGTGGGCTGCAGTCCACAGGGTCGCAAAGAGTCAGACACAGCTGAGCGACTAAGCACAAAGCTTAAAGATGAATTTTTCCTGACTAGAAACAAAACACCCAGTGACACTGGCTCAGAGTATATTCTCCAGCTCGCAAATTTCTCCCATTTTCATGTTCCAGCCTAAGTGTTTAACCTCCAGTCTACAGCAGGATCTGTTCTAAAATACATTGTTGTTTAGTCGCTAAGTCATGTCCAACTCTTTGTGACCCCATGGGTTGTAGACTGCCAGGCCCCTCTGTCCGTAGGATTTCCCAGGCAAGAATACTGGCGTGGGTTGCTATTTCCCCCTCCAGGGATCTTCCCAACCCAGGGATCAAACTGGTGTCTCCTGCATCGGCTGGAATGTTCTTTACCACTGCGCCAGCTTGGAAGGCCCTAAAATACACAGCTACTCACTAATATTCTTCCAGCATACTTTTCACTTTTCCAGAGTTACTATAAAATTTTTCTTGCCATGAACCTATTCATTTCTCCATTTATTCATTATTTAATCACCTACCAAATGCAGCTTCTTACGTGTCCAAAGGGTACAGAGGGAAGTGAGCCGATGATATTTTTGCTTTTAGAAATTCGCATTTATTCAAAATGTAATCCTTAAACACTTATCTTGTGCTAGGCACTCTGTCAAGAGTACATATTTTTTAAGATTCAGATAATGATATTAATCTCTGGGCATCTGATCTGACAAGGATATTCTCCTCTCACACCATAAATATGCTGAAAAATGAAGAAGCTAGGACAGATTCCTCATGGTGGCACTTGTCTCTTCACTGCCCCCCAAAACAGTGATGGAGTTACAAACACAAATGGTATCGTCATGTTGTAAGGTCTCCTGCAGGACACTAGTCTAAGTGAAATTTAGCCAGAAATGCTTGCTGGACAAGGTTACGATGCTTTAAAGGGCTGGAACCAAAGCCATTTCCTACCCAGGGGGGTCTCCAGAGCTTGCTGCCTGGGGGCCTCTGCTCCAGAGGACGCGGGGGCTCTGCCTTGCAGGGAGTCCCCAGCGCGACTGGCTTGTGGTCTGCTCCGAGCGACCCCGGCTCCTTTACCCGCGGCATCGATCTTGCTCTTCTTGTTCTCCTCCTGGACCAAGCTCTCCTCACCGCCTCTCCTCTTCCCGCCTCCCGAGGCCTCTGTTGGATCAGCTTTCTGCAAGATGGGTCTTGTCCCTGCCTTTCCCACGGCTCGTGACGGGGGCGCGGCTTTTACGGAGCTGACACGCCTGGAAAACAGAATCCAGCCACAGCTCTCAGCATTCCCAAGGGAAAACCCTCAGATGGTCACATTTCTGAGCAGGAAAGCTTCCTCGCGACGATGCTTCGCTGATGGGACGTAAGCTTCGAGACAGGGAGCTGGCGACGTCAGAGTTTGGGGTGAGATGGAGATGGGTGCGCCCCGTCATCCCAAGCAGCTGGAGATAGCCCACATCCTAGAGACGTTCCCCAGTGACCTCACGGCGACCCCAAGTTAGTCCACTGACCCATTTCAACAGCAGTCATTTCATGACTCCCTAACTAATTTGATCTTCATTTTTCACTTTCTTCCTTAAAGAAGAGGGAAACCACTGCATTAAAGCGCACTAAAAAAACAAAAGCAATGGCCTCTGAATAGGACCAGCAGTGAGAGGAGCCTCTCCTGGTGAAAGAGCTGAACTAATGTCCACTTTCCGACACCTCCAGACTCTACTAAACCCATCTCTTCAGTGATGGACTTCCTTCATAAACATTAGCGTTTACATTTAACTCTTGAAAAATTAGACTTCTTTATAAATAGCTTCCAAAATACATTATTCAAAAAGGAAATAAGAATTATATCTGCAATCCTTAAAAATCACCACAGAATGGTTAGATCTGGGTGCTCTTTGTTTCAAGTAGATTCTTGGTTCATCACAACATAGATTCATTCATTTTAATTGGCTGCGTAATTGCCTGAATTTCTATGTGAAACTTCGCAGATGAGGAAGAAGCATTAAATAACCTACTTCGCACTCAGTCCTCACAATACTTGTGAAGCAGCTAATGTACCATTTGATCAATCTGGTCAATGCTCTGTTAGGAAGGATGTGCTCTATATTGCTAAAAATAAGAAACGTTTACTTGATGTTTAGAAAGTACAAAATGTGATTGTCAGGAATCACCATATCTGTCTATCATTTGGCAGGAGACATAGAAAGTGATAAATTGCCTGAAAATGTCACAGCAAGAAGAAAAAATAATGGCAAGAAAAGTCCACGCCTCTGGGGAAGCGGCTTCTAAACTGTCATTTTGAAGAGTCCCTCCAGTTATCCTTCAGTCTGGCCTTAAATTACAATGGCACCTCGATCTGCAGAAAATGGCGGTTGCGGATGCAAACGCTGCAAACCCTACCTTTGGAGCTGACCACCATTTGTTCTATCAACACACTGCTCTTTATTTGAACTCCTGCCCAGCCCTGTTCTGCGTGGAATCTCGCATCCTCCATCTTCTTTGGATCCTCCTTCACCAGGCTCTCCCTTGGCGCGGAGACCCTTTTCCTCCCCTTCCAACACCAGACTCTCACTTCTACCCGCAGAGCCTCGCTCAGCCCCAGAGCTGCGAGCTTCCTGTCGGCTCAGGCTCCCTGGGCGTGAAGCGTCCTCACTGTCTCTCGGCTCTGTGGAATTTCTGAGGGCAGAATCTCCCGGTTCATCATGGGGTCTGTCTGTCTGAAATGCGGCGGAACTTCTCTGCGCTAGAGACGCAGGGGTCTTCTCGGCCTGCTTCTCGTCAAGCTTGTTAAACGTTTCTTCCTCAGAGGAGGGCAGGTTCTTCTGGGAAGATCTCTCTAAAAGCCACCATAGGACACAAAATATTTTAATGAAGGTCGCACGTGACCGGTGTCATTCTGGCCTCACAGAATGGCACCTTTATTCAGGCTTCTCTTTATCAGCAGATACGAGCTTTGGAATGAAAAGTAGGAGAGCATGTGGTCACCGGACTAGGGGCTGGGCCTCCAAAGCTTCTCTGGTTCGCAGCGAGGAGGACCCAAAGCCAATCAGATAAAGGTATTCAAGCAGCACTTGACCCAACACAGGGCTTCACGAAAGTGTGACTTCCTCCGGATAAGAACAGCAACGACAGGACTGTGTAACAGAGCTCTCTTCGTTCATCAACGCCTAATCTAACGGAAGGATTACCTGCAGGGGCCACTGTCCTGTCGTCGGCGGCAGGTGCTGCGTCCTTCAGGCCGGGGAGTGGCCACACTCGCTCCTTAGCCTGTGGGGACACGATGGAGTAATCAGCAACGTGAACGACACGTCAGAGCAGGCTCTGTTGACCACAGGACTCCTGATGCTTTTCATTTTATTTTTTATTATGGGGAATGTCTCTAGAATTACAGGATGTTTGCCAGCATCTCTGGCATCTGCCCACCAGATGTCTACAGTACCCCCAGGTGAAATATCCAAAATCAATGCCTCCAGAAATTGCTAAATGTCTCTGGTAGACAAATTCACCCCAGATTGAGAACCACTACATTACACAATTCAAGCACAGACAAAAATACCAAAAATAAATAACAATTTAGAGGGCAGAACAGTCTGAATTGATGAAGCCCTGTAGCAACTAGAGTATTTGAAAGTGGATGAACTATTTTAAAAGAAGTTTTATAAAACTCTGGCATTGTTTGTAGAAGAAGGCTCATCTTCTTGGATAGATTAAAGGATATTGACAATGTGTATGTTACCCTTGACCTTTGTTTATTCTGTCTTGCTATTGTTCATGTATAAATCAAATAAAAATCAGAGGCTATATGTGAATGGGTTTTGCAAATCAGAAAGTAGAAGACTACAGTAAGCTTTCATAAAAGAGGCTTCTATACCACTTAGAACAGATGGCCCCTTTCTAAGGAGATGAGCATTCTTTTTGCAGTCCTTTCTCTGAATTAGTTTACAAACCCTTTTTAAATACCACATAAAAGGTAAACATTAGCCCAATCCATCCAAATTATCACAAGTTCTGAAGTTATGCATTATAAATTAATGAAATTCTATGGATGTTCAAAGAATCAGTCTTTTTTTTCTTTACTTCGGAAAGAGCAAAATTTGCCTGTGGGTGACTAGCAGGCATGAAACACTATGTAAGTGCAGGTCATGGATATCAAGACAAATTATAAGTGTGCTTTTAAACAACCCAAGAGGCAGTCCAATAGGTTCAGAGCATTTTCATTTTTCAGATAAAGACCTTCAAACACAGAGGCATGTTTAGTAAATCCTGCGGAAAACCAAAATTAGAGATTAGAGCCTGGTAGTCTGGAATTTTCTCTCTTTTAGTGAAAGCCAGGCCCACGTCCTTCAGCTTCCCCTTATGTACAAGCACAGTGGTCAGCACATCCCCCACCCCAAAAAGCACGCAACGCTTTCTCCATGCTTTCATCATCAGCTTCCCACTAGATTGTAGGGCTCGAGTGGGCAAAAAGACAGATTCATCTCTGAATCCCTGGCATTTACTCAGGGATATAATGTTGGTGGAGGTGATGATGGTGATGGTGGTGATGATAATGCTGTGGCTGCTAAAGATGATGGTGATGATGGCGGTGGCTAGTATATACTAAGTACTGACTACATACCAGGCATGTTTCTAAGCCCATTACATCATTAATTTCTGGTTCCTCATAGCAACACTTTGAGATAGATACTACTAACTCCATTTTATAAAACAGTCGGATAATTTCACAGGGTTATACAATTCAGAAATGGCATAAACAGGATTTTAAGTCATAACTACAGCTGGAACTGTCACTCTGAAAAAAGAAGTAGATTATAGGCAAGGTATATCATTGATATTGATGGAATATCTACCAATACAGCCAGCACCACAGGAACCAAGATGAAAGGTTACAAGAAAATGCCATCAAATAGAAACAAGTAAAGAAATAAATATTCATTGGTCAGAAGATCAGAATTAACATGGAAGGAGAGAAAGAGAATTTCATTCAGGTTTTGAAAATGAGTCAGATAAGGTAGTTTAACAAATTGAGATATTTGATAGCTTTGTCTTTCACTGCCTCTCTTTTTCAGTGAAAACCCCTGGTGGGCAGGTATTGTTCTTCTGGATTTATACTGGATGGCATGAATGTGATGGTAAAAGCACTGGTGAACTTAGGAAAGAAAACTGGTGTGTGTCAGTGGATTTCAGTCTATCAAAATATGCAAACTGGATAATGTGGCGTGCTGGCCCCAGCTGCTGCCTCCAGGGACATCCCCATGTGGGTGGTGGGTGCCCACAGGACACGCTAGGTGCTAGGTCTGATTTGACCAACAGGAGAACTACTGATTCTGAGGAAGGTCAGAATCCAGTTTCCCAGCGAGGCTCTGTTCTTCCCCTTCCGTTGTGTATCAGGTTCGCTCTACCCTTGAACAATGTAAGGTCTTCCCGCGTTGCCACAGGCTGTTTCCCTGTGTCACACTGACATCTAGAGGAGCCTGGACCCGGCGAGCTCCAAACACGCAGCAGCTGCAGTTCTCCTTGCTGTTTGAGCAGAAGCTTCAGGGTGAAGCTTTGACTCCGTGCACCATCCTCACCAGGGCACAGACCTTTCCCCGCACTCCGCTCAGCAGCACCGCATGACGGCCTGCCGAGCCCACGTGCGAGAAGGAAGACGTAGTTACCAGACTCTGATGGCAGGGCAGGAACGCCCCGTCAGGCTGCGCCACTGAAATCGGGCTCCCCGGGCGCCACTGACAGTCTGCATCCCTGAGATGAAGTTACGGGATCGCAGAAGCTCTGTGAGGGGGATCAAAGCTGCCTCAGAAAATTGTTTTCTTAACATCTCAACGGGACACAACCAAACTAACTGCCTATACGCTAAGCTGAGGGCATACTACTGTTATTGAGGTGCCAACTGTGAACACTCTGGGTAACTTTAGCCTAATGCCTTAGAAATACAAAAGCAAAATTATAAAAGCTGTAATGTTACATTGTTAAACTTTGGTTAGGCACCTCACAGGGGAGAGAGAAAAACAGAGCCTAAAAGAAGACAAAGGAAAGAATTTTCAGAAGAAATATTAAAACTGTGTCTCCTCGCCTGCTCCTGGAAGATGACTGTAGAAATCATTTGTAAGAGAAATCTGGCCCTCTTCATCTTCGGCGCACATGCAAACTCCTTGGGCCTTAAGGGAGAAAACTTCCTACAGTCCCCGGTAGATACGACCCACTGAGCAATGTGCCAGGCCTGGCAGGACAGGATAGGACCGAACCTGGGAGGGAAGTGCCGACCTGGACCTCAGAGTTAGTGGGCAGACACACCCTGGGCTGCAGAAAACGTAAGGGGCAGTCAGACGGCCACACGAGAAGACGACCCTGCCAAGAAGACCGACGCCTCTTGGTGAGTCCACCAAGGAAAGAAGGCTGCTCCCAGGTGTGTGTCAGGAGAGAGGCCAGAATCAACGGTGTTGGCTCGGGAAAGCCTAATGGGAGCCTCTGTCAAGGGCAGAGACCTGGGTGATTTTACTCTCATTTGATTACAAGATGAATCAGCAGTTTTGTAAAAAGGCAGCACACTGCCCGGCTCACTGCCCCTCCAGCGAGAGGTGCGTGGGACCAGCCCTGCTCAGATGCGCCCCCCGACCACTCCTCACGGACTAAGACTTGACGTACACTACACACTTTCAAGTTTGGTTTGGGCTTCCCAGGTAGTTCAAGTGGTAAAGAGTCCACCGGCCAATGCAGGAGCCGCAGGAGATTCGGGTCCTATTTCTGGGTTGGAAAGATCCCCGGGAGAAGGAAATGACATCCCACTCCAGTGTTCTCACCTGGGAAATCCCATGAGCCTGGTGGGCTACAGTCCATGGGGTCTCAAAGAGTTGGACACGACTGAAACCAGCTGGGCATGCACGCGAGTTTTCTCATCCCCCAAAACCCCTGCTATAACTGAGTGACCAAGAGGGTCCTCAACAGGGGTGTGAAGACCCAAGGTTTTGGGAGAGGACGACCCTTGGTCTGCCCTTCCTCCTTGGGGGCCAGGTTGTGGACCAGAGACACAGATATTGAAAATACACCCTGTCTTTCACTCTCCTCTCCAGCCTGCCGTTGTCGATTTAAAAGAACAGGTTAGAACTAATTGGGAGCAAATTAAGACCCGTCTCCTAAAGATCTGGGCTGGCTGAGTGGTAAAGAATCCTCTTGCAATGTAGATGTGGGTTCAATCCCTCGTCCAGAAGATCCCCTGGAGAGGAAATGGCAACCCACTCCAGCATTCTTGCCTAGAGAATCCCACGCACAGAGAAGCCTGGTGAACTACAGTCCATGGGGTCACCAAGAGTCAGACAGGACTGAGCGACTAAACATCAACCACCTAAGACCCAGGCACACGGGGCGTGCAGATCATACAGACTCACTTTCCCTCCTATTGCCGATGGACGCGCTCCCCTCAGACATCTGAAAGAGGTTCATATTGTCTTATTTCCTTCCCTCCACCACCTCTCCTGCCTTTCCCAAACAGAAAACGCTGGGCCCTCTGCCCCTAACTGCTGCCCTTCCCCAGGAGCCGCCAATGAGGCTCTGCCTGGCCGCTCTCCTGCCGCCCTCTCCCTTCTCACCTGCCCGGATCCTCCTTTGCTCTGACCTGGTTCTCCTTGACCACCCGGCCGGGGGTCTGAAAACCATCAGTGCCTGGGTCCCACCCCCCAGAGCGCCTCATAAAATTACAGGAGTGGGCTGGAGACTGACATTTTGACCCCCACCCGCACCCCATGGACTGTAAGAACTAGGCTAGAGACTGAATTTTGACCCCACCCGCACCCCATGGACTGTAAGAGCCGCCAGGTTTGGGAGCTGGGGCTCTGCCAGCTCCGGCCCCATCCCTCTGGCTTTTGGAGGCTTTTTTGGTTCCTCACCACCCAGGCGGCCCCACCGCAGCGTGAACGAGAGTGAGACACTGCGGAGGCCGCACTCCTCAGCCCTGCTGCCTCCCTCCCTCCATCAAGGGTCTTCGATCTTCCCCAGGATGGATTATCTAGCAAACCGCTGCCTCCGCCTCACCGGCCACCAGGGACACACGAGGAAATGAGTCCAGGGGTGCTTGCCCAGCAGACCGCAGACCCCTCTCCAAGATGATCTTGCGGGGGATCTGGAGAGGGGGGAGCCGAGGAAAAGCCCACATTCCCACCCACACCCCTGGTTCTCCCCTGAAATCTTCGCCTTGCTTCCTGGTCAAAATGAGGCCATCACAAGGGATTGGATTCCCCCACCCAAATGCGGGTGAGCAGAGGAGGGGA